GTCAGATTATTTTCGGTTTTATTAACAACCTGCTTTAAAAATTTTCTTAAAGCAGATACATATGATAAAGAAGTTATTACCTCAGATTTGGCGGTGGTTGCTACACAGCAAGGGTATTAAATGGGGATTAGAAGTCACTTGATTGTAAAATTTTACTATGTTTTACTATGATCTGCAGTAGTGATAGTAGTTTTTCGGAAAATGGCAACAAGGTTACAAAAAAAGATTAACGATTTGGATAGAATTCTAAAAGAAAAAAACATAACTTATTAAAGAAAGACAAAAATTTTAAACCAATGAATATAAGCTACATTAAGTGGAAAAAATATGTGAGGATCTTGAAATCAGTAAAGAAGAATATAAATCATATTTGGTAAATATAAATATATTTGTATTATCAAAATTTTAATGATCTGTTTATTCATTGATTTAATATAAATTATTTGTTATATATATGTAGATGGAAATCAGAACTATAATGAAATATTTCAAAGTTGATATAGATGTTTCTTATAACAGACAAGACACCATCTTAATTGCTAAAATTGTTAATAAGGTATATAAATTACATATTCTGACTAGATTTGTTTACGAAAATTTATTAAAAAAATATTTGCATTTAGTTCATTACATGAAATCCTGATGCAAATGTTAGTCTCAACAATTGACCAGTAAAGGAGTTGGTTAAGAAATGCATACAACATCAAAGTAAAATATCTAATTAAATTTTGATTTTCACACTTGGTGCACATTCAATGAAGGAAAAAATGGTTGTGCTAACATCTTTATTTAAAAATTTTTAATGCAAATTAAGGAGATTATTTTTTATATTGGTAAAAATAAAAACAACAATAAAAGTAAGATAGAATTAAATATTCGTCATGGATATAATAATTACTTTGAATAATATTAATTATATCCCTTAAACGAACGATCAAAGTATTCTTTAGTAGTAACACAAAATAATTTTTTGATCACGATCTTGCATTCTTATTGGCCAATTTAACGATCTGCAAAGTAAAAGTAGTCAATCGACCAACTTTTAAGGAAGATTTTACGAAAACCACAAGGATAACAACCGAATTTTTATTCACAGATCAATCAGCTGAATTGCAAAGATTATTTTCGTATTAGGAAGTGAAAAAGTTTTTTATAACAGAAAAAAAATTTCGGCTATCAATAGCCGAAAAACCGTTTAAGGGATATACTATTAGTATTAGATAATAATGAAAATGAAGATGATATTGATGAAATTTATAATGTTAAAATGAAAGTATCATTGATGACGATGATTATGAAACTTATAACGATGTTGAAGATGACACCATTGATGATAATAATAATGATGTAAATGTAATTGATACTGAAGATGAAGATAATACAAGTAACATATTTATTTATTTATTTATTCATTTATTCATTTATGGTGTGAGCAACATTATTACTTTAAAGGAAAAAAAACAACCAATAAACTTTATTAGGTAATAATAATGTCAATAAAAAAAATAATAAAGATATTATTTTCATTAATTTACTTGTTATTATAATTTCTGATCAATTGGCTATGTGATGTTTATTATTATATTTTTAAAAAATTTATATCATATATATATTAATAAAGATATATATATATATAAGAACGTGTTTAACACATTAATTCCCGCATTATGTAAATTTATTTTCGTATAGATAATAAAGCTAACCAATAGAAACTGATGAACAAATTGATTCAAACAATTTCGATTCGATCAATGTTAATCCTCCTAAATTAAGAAGTACACTAATAAAAAAATAATTTATAAAGAATAAGTGAGAATTGATTTCAAAATTTTGGAGGTGAAAATACAGTCAAATGGTTAAATATGAAATTGGTATTTTTTTTGCCTTGTGTTTACTCGTCGACTCCAATATGATCTCAAACTCTAGAAGATTGACAAATGACCTAATTTTTGGTCAAATAAAAAATATCTAAAACACTACAAGATGAATTATGCAACATTTATTCTTAGAATTTATTTTTATGTTCAATTTTTGATGAATCAAATCATTAAAATACAAGATAATGAAAGAGCAATAAAAGTGATTATTGGAAAATTATTTAAATTTTATATTATAGTATTATTTTATTTAAAACATTATTTACGTGATTTTTTGTTTAATTTAATCACTATTGTAAGTTGGAATTATTAAAAGTTTAGAAACCCCATGTTTAGAAACTTTGTGTGAATGGATTTCGCTTTCTTCAACTTGTATAATCATTTCGTTTGTTTCTTTTAATATTTTATTTATGTTGTATAAATGAATTATTAACATTACCATTTTCTTACGAAACGATTTGTCACTGTCTTCATCGATTGGGATCTCCAAACACTTTAATCTCCTAACACGATATAATGGAAAGTATTAATTAATATTAAAAAGGTTAAGAATTAAAAAATGGTTGAAGTAAATAATATTATACTTCCTATATATATGTAAGAGAACCATTGGTATTTTTTTTCCGGTCAACAAATGGAGAATTATGAAAACTAAAGGTCCAACGAATTATATGGAAAATTTTATTGTCCCATTTGAGACACTTCATTCCTATCATGAACTTGTAGAAGCTATAGAATCGCATGTATATGTACCCTTTGTGGAGTCAGGAAAGTCATTGACTTTACATTACCTAGAAAATTAGGATGTTAGCCGTTTAAAAAATCCTTAACCGGATAAAGATCCACTTTGCTCCTTTGTGGCCATACTTATGTTGTAATCCCTATAAAAAAAAATTTTTAAAAATAGCAATTTTTTAAAATCATTATAATTTATAAAATAACTCACCATTGGTAGGATAACCAAAAATACGAAATTTTTAATGGGTGCAACCCCATCATGTGACCAAGTCGCTTCCAATATATTTTCATGAGTTTTATACAATTTTTTTTTTTAAGTTCATAAAGCAAGATAATAAATTTTGTGCCGCCTCAAGGAAGTTAAATAAATTATTGTTATCAAAGAATTTCATAGGGATTTCCATAACGTCCTTTTTTTTCTAAATATAAGTTTACAAATTCTAATAGATCGTTTGGCGAGATATAATGTCAAAACCTTGATTTACTTCATCCCATAAGTTGAAATGTGTAGTCATTCAATTAGATCAGGATGTAAATTCATAACATCAATTATCCCAGATAATAGGGGATTATTATTGCTGATCATAAAAG